ATGCTCCAGCATTTAAGGATACCACTGATAAACATTTGGAAGCTCTATCCAAATCCATATATTTGCTAGCTGAAACCTAAGCCTCAAACTGGCATATATTTTCCTGTCTATGAAGCTATAAAGAGTTCCTTTTTTTCTCCCAGGCTTCCCACTCCAAAGCCAAACCTAAGGGAGGGACCCAGTACAACTGCAATCCCTGGGCTCCTAAATCCTACACAGATGCAGAAAATACTTCAGCATGAAGGGATGCCCCCACTTACCAAAGTTATGAAATGTCTGTTGGCCTTTTTGGACACCTGTTAATCTCTTGCCGCGGTAAGGGAAGTGGTATCCAGGGGCTACAAGGTAGAGTTCTGCTCTCTGCCTCTGCCCTGCTTCATGTTGTCCAATCTGCCTGTGTCTCTGCACAGTCTATCGTCCTGGTATCCAAGATCCGACATTATGCCAATCTTTGGACAGATGGCACACAGTTAAATTTTCAGGTGGCCTGATGTCTCTGCATCTGCCACTTGCTGGCATGTTACATTTTCCCTATTTAGCTCAGCACATGCACTCAAATATTCTTACAATTGTTTAACCCTGAAGGGAATTTAAACTTTCAAACATTTGAAGCAAACAGTGAAACTTCCGGTCTCTCCCTTCTTAAATACTTCTTTCGAGAGCAAATGTCTGCATGATCCCCAGCCCGCAGATGTCAGCTAATCTTACCATCTTAACACCTTGCATCAATTCATGGAGCTCCATATAAGTGTAAATGGGGACAGGATGTGGAGCAGACAGATTGGGACACAATTGGTGATTCTGAGATGGTAGTCGGAAAGAATTTCTGAGTATACTCTTACAGTATTCCCTTGTTGTTTTCGGGGTTTGGGTTCTTATGCCTTCATATTCCACACCTGGTGAGAGTGCCTCAAAGCCATTAGCTGTGGATTCATGTATATAATTTGATCCGATCGAAACTTCATTTTAGCTTAACACACAATCCCTGGGAATCTTTACTGAATAGGAAATACTCAGCATCTGCAGGCATTTGAAGCTGATGCAGATATGTGCTCCTCTAGGTGCCTGCGCTTTATACCTGCAGCAGTTTTGTTTTGTTTTTGTCCTAGAGAGAGAATCTCTTTAATAGCAGATTGTGTGATTGGTATATATTGATAGGTTTGGCATATCCAAATTGTCTTTAACTGAGCAGGTCAGGCATCATCTGGAGCACAATTTCCCCAGAGTGCAAGATATCACTTTCTAGTTCATAGGAGCAGCTTCCCCTCCCTGCTGAATCAAGGTGCATATCACAGCCTCCTCCTTGCTGAACCCTCTGGAGGAATAGAAGAAAAGACTGCTGAGTTGTGGAGAGCATGACATTTTATGTGATTGCATTGTTTTACACTTTATTCAAGCTCCCCTATTAAAAGATCCCTTTGAAGCTCTGTTAATATCTGTTTGTATCTAACATAGCCAAATAGCATACACAGCATACACAGATGCAATAAAAAAAAAGCTGCACCCTTTTGTTAATTAATTTAACATTAAACAGATTGTGATACCATTCCCCCAATGGCTTTTACAGGCATGCATATAGTAAAGCTAAACTCTCAACAAATAATTTTTCATTTTCGATAGTCAATTTAGTGCCCATGTTCATGTTTTGCACATTAACATGTGTTGCATTAAGGCAGCCAATTCATTTTGCATAGACTGCCAGTGGTAATATGCATTTGTGGTGCAATTAATTGCAAATGTTTTGTGGTGTGCTGGTTTGGTGCGTTACCAGGTTTGCTTTATTTTTTTTTGTCCATATTTTCTTTCTGTGCGCTGTGCATATCCATTTTCAATTGAATGTATGAACTTTTAAATCTATATCAAAACATTATAAAGGGGGGAGGGGGCACTGTTTTGTGCTTGCTGCCATATTGTTGACACTAGGCTTTCCATGGACTGTCCATGTTTCCCTCTCCCTGCGTTGTGCTCATCCATTTAGATTGAATGTAAGAATTATTTAATCTACACGGCCTGGCCAAAAACAGGCCACGCACTGTAATATTTCGTTGGACTGCTTTAGCTTTGATTACGGCATGTGTTTGCCATGGCATCATTACGTTAAGCTTATGCAATGTCACATTTATTTCTGTCCAAAGTTGCATTAATTTTTCACCAACATCTTGTATTGATGATGGGAGAATCGGAGCACTGCGTAAAGTCTTCTCCTGCACATCTCAAAGATTCTCAATGGGGTTTAGGTCTGGACTCTGTGGTGGCCGATCCATGTGTGTAAAAGTATGCCTCATGCTCCCTGAACCATTCTTCCACAATTTGAACCTGATGAATCCTGGCATTGTCATCTTGGAATATGCCAATGCCTTCAGGAAAGAAAAATAAATCCATTGATAGAAAAACCTGGTCATTCAGTATATGCAGGTAGACAGCTGACCTCATTTTGTGAGGATATAACATTGCTGAACCTAGACCTGGCCAACTGAAGGAACCCCAGATCATAACAATGGGCAAAATCCAGGGGGTGCACTGTGTTGACACTAGACTTTCACTGGACTGTCCATGTTTTCCTCTCATTTGCTCATCCTGTAGACTCTTTGTATGAACATCCTGTGGATGGTTGAGTGCTCCAGTGGTAGCTTGCGTTCTAACCCTTACTCTCTATCCAAAACAAACATTTTGGCAGTAGGAACAACTTAGGAAGGTAACACTACTATTTTCTATTATTTTCTATAACAGTTTCTTGTATTAACTGCCTGATCATTGCACAATGAAAACACCTCATCACACTGCTCCTTATGGCCTCCTTTTCCTGCAGGCTGGCTAAACACTTCCTCTGCTATCCACTAGTGCTTGTTAGATCAGCCGCAATGCACAAAGCAGTGCAATCTTATTTGAGCATGTTGCATATCCTCCTAGCCTTACCCTTCTTTCTGCTCTGCAGAGAATTGTGCGGAGATAATGTAGATTTCAGGCAGTTATATTTGAGTGTTTTACCTGCCTAAGATTTGTAATTCTCTTGAGCCAGTCTTGTAGTCCAGGCACTCTGGCAGAAAGCACGGCCAGGTCCTTGACTTCCCCTGCATCAGCACAGTTTAGTCAAATTTATACTCCAGCCTCCTGATTGGAAAATTAAAGAGCAGCAGCAAACAGAGGGGGTAATTTCTCTGCTCATTCTTCTCCCTCCTCCTGTGAGCATGTTTCCTGTCAACACTACAGCACACTGTAGAAGAGCTTTATTGGCTCCTAATGCTGCTTTACAGGGGATTAAAAGAGGCTGATTTCAAAACAGATTCAGGGACTGATACTAATTCCAGGCAAATGGCTAAATAAACTGATGAGATAATTACACAGCCAGACCTGATTATTCCTGCTGCAGGTAATGAACAATTTTCCCTCACCGAGCCTGTGATTGGAAAGTGAAAAGAGAAACAGCACACTGATGAGTTTATCTGTCAACTTGCTCTCTCCACCTATCAGCATATTCCTTGTCAGCACATGCACACACTGCAGCACAAGTGGGTTACATTCAGGTTCTTACACTGCTAGCAGTTAACAACACACATTTAATGTTGTTTTAATAATTAATACAGAGCGGCTTTAATGTCTTTTATATCTGCCTGGAGTTCGTATTTAAAGTAGATTTATATTTGATTGTGTATATACATAACTGCATTCATCACTGAACTTTTAATTTGCAGCTGCCGTTAGCTTAGCTTTAAAGCTGTATTCAAGGCAGTTATAAAATACACAGGCCAGTGCAGCTCTGTAACCATTAAGGCCCCTTTCACACGGGCTGATCAGAAGACCTGTGCACGGATCCCCTCCTGATCAGAGTGGTGTGGATAGGATGTCACCGCTGTGACTTCTGTGTCAGTCCAGTTTTTTCTTCCATCTTGCGATGGAGGAAAAAACTGAAATGACCAGATCCCATGTCAGTCTATGTCCATGACCAGATCCCATGTCAGGGAAATCGGACGTAAACAAACATGTGTTCATTTACATTAGATTATCCCTGGTCTGGACCTGGTGGGAGTCAGGGGTAACTGGGTGTAAACAGATGCCTGCCTGTTTAGAGCTGGCTGCCCATAGACGACCATTGGGCATCCATTTGGGACCCCCTGGAAAACTGACAGGCGGACCCAATCGGACTGCCTGTGTGAAAGTGGCCTGATAGACCCTTAATTGTATTTTTTAAATGCAAGCAGTATAAATACCTTAAATTGACCGGCTATCAACCTCTTGCAGTCCCTGTACAGCAGAATTCACAAAGGGGAGAGGAAAGTAGCAAAATACCCCAATCAGGTTTGTTTTAGTGCAAGGAGCATGGTGATAGGAGAGAACAGAGTAAGAGACAAAGGAGATCATCACTTTATCTGTCCAATTACATGCTGGGGATGGGTAGGAGACCTGTATATGAAAGTGAAACTGCAGCAGAAAACAGGTCCCCTCCCCTGCCAGGCAGGACTGTTCTATGTAACAGAGCTGTGTAAATCTCAGGTATGAAAGGACAAAAATACAAATCCTTTTGGCAGGTAAATCGGCTCCATTACATATGCTTGATCTGTGTATTTAGCAGTTTGCCCAGAGTCCACCTTTAACATAACATAAGAGTGAAATGAAATGTGCAAGTCCTGCCTGCAATAGTATATAATAGTTGACAATTTAAATATTTGTTGCATCAATAGTAATATAGTGCGTTTATTACTAGAAGATATCTGTGTCATTTATAATTCAATCTAAATTGAAAGATACGAGAAGGGTTGTGTATAGGTCTACCTGAAAGGATAAATAAACACCCAACTCTTTTCAGAAAAGGCATAATATCCACAAATAGTAATGTGTGGCCATATGCTGTGCCCGCCATTACAGATTACCTGTGCCCTACTTCTCAGCAGACACAGGCCATATTTTCCCTTCTAGCGGTGGAGGAAATGGATGCTGTGCAAGCTTGTGTTCACCCCGTATTTTATTGGAGCTTGTTATAATTTTGTTTTGTTGTTGTGCAGGATCCGTTCTGTAAATGATGACATTCTTAATTTTACTCTGGAGTTCACTAATTGGAAGAGGCTCTCTGCAGATGTGGAGCTGCTCCTGTCCACCCACGCAGAATATTTCACCTGGATTCCACAGAAGCATTTCGGTAAGTAAACAACTGTCAAATGAATTCTCTATGCCTCCGTTTACTATGATTAGAGGGGAAACAGCTCTTCAGGGCATTTGCAAAGGGCTGCGGCAGCACAGGACGGAATGAGATGTGTGAAAGCTGTCTGTACATTTCTAATGTGCGTCTGCAAGAAGAGAAACAAAAAAAAAATGAAGACTGTTATTTCACTCCATAGGTTGCAAGCAAGGTTCAGGAGTGCATTGTAAATTATATTGTATGCGCAGTCATGATAAAAGCAAATCTGCCACATCCTCTGGAGTTTCTTTTGGTTAAGAGTTGAATGGATAAATATAAATCCTGCTTAGTCATATATCTATATATAAATATATATCCATTGTTAGGACACACTGTTTAGCTTAGGGCCTCAGGCAGAGGCAACTTGTTAGCAGTGTATCTATGCAGTGTGCATCCCTTTTTATTATGAGTTTAGGGATAGATTTTTAAGATACTTAAAATATGTTAAAAATAAAGTTCTAATACATACCCCCCTGCAAAGAAGACATGGAATACGCACCTTTCCTGCTGCTCACGTCACTGATCTATGCACTAGTGAAGGGAAACCCCCAGGTGAAGGGCATGCAGACACTTGTGATGATTTCATTGTCCCCCACTGTGCACTGTGGTCCCTTCCACTGGCTCTACATCACTACTGGATACATTAGTGACGTACGGACCAGTGGATTGAACCACTGGGAGCAGCAGGGGACCAGGAATCCAAATCTCCCAAAAGTGTTGTGTTGGATTCTGCAGGATCTTCAGCCAGCAGTTTCTCTTTATCAAAGCAGAGATCAGCAGCATGGGCAGCAGGAGGATGAATATTTTTTGTCTTTTTTCCTGGAGCAATGTATTTTGAATGTTTAATTTTGAAGGGGCATCACCATGAGGCCCTTCACTGACAGGAAGAGAGTTATTATTATTATATAGGATTTATATAGCGCCAACAGTTTGCACAGCACTTTACAATATAAGTAAGACATTACAATTACAATGCAATTCAAGACAAGATGGTAAGGAGGGCCCTGCCCGTGAGGGCTTACAATCTAAAGGGTGGGGGTTGAATGATAATGGGCGTCATTTAGCGTGAAAAAGGACCAGTGCTGGACCATGGAGCCTGCGGGGCACAGCAAGAGTAGAGGAGAGTATGGCAGTATCATCTTTGCTTTAAATTAAATTAATAAACGACATGAAGTTTAAAGAGAATATTGTGCTTCGAGCGTATATACGATACAGACAATCTTAAAGGAGTTTTTATGCCCCAGCATATACTATCTTGTTATAACATCAGGATTGCAATAGGAATACATAGTAGAGTTGTTTTTGATAATGCAATCAAAGCTTGCTTGAACAACTTCCTGGATTCCCAGTGTGCTTTGCATCTTTTTTCCTGCTGCTTGATGTGATGCAATCACAATTTCTCAAAACTTCATATCCCAATATGCATTGCTTCCAGCAAGCTATGACATAGTTCAGACGTTGAGTTGTAGTTCAGAAGGCAGGCTCTGGGAGAGTTGTAACTCAAGGAAGTACATCCTATGGGCATCTTCAATAAGTAAGTTTACAAACGTCTAGATTGGTATGGTTATTAGGAGTTGGATAAAACCTCTAGACTTTGAATATAGAAATACATATTTTCAGATTTTTAACAATAGATACCCTTAAAAATCAAATTTCAGCAAAGATTGTCTACAGGACAATACTTAAAATAATGGCAATACTTAGCACAAAGAGGACTCGGGCACAAAGTGTTGAACCTGGGACAGGGGCCCCCGGGGGACAGGGTCTAGCAAAGACACTGTGTGTAATTTAGGCCTAACCCACTGTAGTCAGAAATGTGACAGCAAGAAAATAGCCACAACAGTGCCACAGTTCAGAGGTCATTAATATCTCTAATATAGGCAATAGACATATAACACAATGGAAACTTCCTTTTTGTAAACATACAAGTTTCAAAACTGCTATAAATAGGACGGGCAGATTTTTTTTCTTTCTCTTTACAGTACAGCGCTGACAGACTCTGTGAACGATGATTTCCAATGTTTCCTGTCAGTACATAAAGTTAGAGAGGAGCATTGGCTTGTTTAACAAGCTTGACAATCATAAACCTCCTGGCTGTCATCTGAACACGCTGTAACTGAGTTTAAGAGTCTCAAACACCAGGAAAAGTGGAATTTCAACTCTAGCAGTGAACTCAGATTGTAATCCTGGAAATATGAGAACTACAAAAAAAATGTAATCATTGTGTAATTATCTATGCGAGAGATGATGGTCACAGGAAAAGGCTTTGAACTTCTTTTGAAGTGCAGCCAGGGGACATGTCAAACAAGGATAAAGGTGACTCTGGAGAGTGACATTGTTGCCTAGTCAACCACAAGCACTGACGATAATTGAAAGAAGCATGATACAGGGCTCACAGTCCAAGGTCTTTGCATAAAAATTTTACATATCTGAAGGGGACAAAAAAATAGGGAACTACTATTTGGTATCCCCCCTACCTACCACCTCCATATAAAGATACCAGGTAAAAAAATACCATATTAAAGATATTATTCCTTTCTGCACCTAAGACTGGCTTTGCACTAACGAGGTCACCAGAATTCTGGTATCCACCTTATCAGTCCGTCTTTATTGACGTCAGATAATCACGGCATAACATTGTGTTTCATTGTGATGCCATGATAAATTACGTCAATAAAAGATGGATTGTTAAGGTGGATACCTGTGTGCCGGTGACTTTGTTCTTGTTTCTGCTGTATGCGGAGCGTTCCGCACCCACCAGAATAACCAGAGTGGATATATCATTCAGGAGTGTAATGGGGCATCCTTGATATTTGGCTATGCACCAAGGGCCCATACACACACACACACATAGCGGTGAGCTGCATTTTACTGCACCAGATCAACACAGATCAGCACAGCTTACCAGTAGGACACAGCAAATAACAGCGCACCTTGCTGCTGTTTTGGGGCCTGATTGGACTGTACACATTGCACACTCCACATAAAGTTAAAAAATATAAAAAAGGTAATAAACAGTGACGCATGGAGCTGCCACAGTCCACTAGACCGTCTACTAAAATGCAGCATTTTAGCAGGTGGACTAGTGTGAACAGGCCCTTATGATGGCCATACACTGTGCGAATTTCGTCTGGTTCCAAGCACAGTGGGTGCCAATGTTGGCACCCTTTTGACTGGTCGGAAAATCGTTGTACAACAGAGCCAGCAGCCAATGAGCTGCTGGCTCTGTTAAGGTATCCGGCGGTCACTGTCAGAATACAAAAGTAACAGTGGGGATTTCTTAATCAATGTGCTGTTAGTATTGATGGAGGAATCTGCTCTATTTTTGTCGTTCAGTACACGAGTTGAGCAGTGTATGGTCAGCTTCAGAGTCTCTGGTTTAAGGCAGTCATGCAGCCTGAATATTGAGCCATTTTGTAGACAGCAGTTTTGAGTTTATTGGTACCCTCGTCAGAATATAAAACAATGGCTGCAGAAATGTTTAAAATGAAATTGTCATTGAAAGTCGTGATTAATATTTTTATTTCTTGTGCCTGCACAGAATCTATCCCACCTTTGACACACCTTTGCCGCCTTCAGATCCGCTCCATCCTTAAAACAGAGCGTTTACGGTCTAAAGACTATGTAAGCCAGCTGCCAATCCCTTCCTGCCTACAAGAATATCTTCTCTATTCCAATGTGTTAAGTTTCTATGGCATTTCCACAGGAGACAATTTTCAGGAGAATAAACTGCAAAATATCACCCAAGAAAGTGATTGATTGAAATCTGTCTATCACTGGCACTGGACTACTAGCTGGATTTCAACATTGTATACTGCGTGTAAATATTCCATTTGGTAAAGAAATCTGGAGCTGTACAAAGCTGTACTGACATGGAAAGCTGTGTCATAAGAAGAATTAAAAACAATGTAAATAAAGCGTACAAAAAGGGCTGCATTGAATAGGATATATTCTGTCTTCATATTTGGATCTTTTTAAAATAAATTACAGTTTACTTACACATGAAAATTCAGCATCCAGCTAATAGATAAAGCTGATCTCCAGGCAAACTGAAATTCACAATTGCATTTTATATATATTGAACTGTTATACCTGTTGATAGCTTTGAAGCTTGTAAACCAGACAGCAGAGCTAGGCCCTGGACCTACACTGCAGTGAAACAGCACAGCTTGGTCCAGAATACGCTAACCTGCTGATTAGACAATGTTAGACTGACAGCACTGTGCCCTGCAGTAGTGCCTGATTGTTCTCTAGTGCTGGCCCTCCCTCTTCCAGTCCTGCTGTTCTGACATAAAGACACATTCATGTATACCTGTTGCATTTAAAAATAGAGTGAATCAGTTTATGCAAAGAACTCTTTGTATATACAGTGTCCATTTACTGTATGAGGCATCCCCCAGCCCGCCAAAGCTCCGCCCCATCCTGCCAAAGCTCCGCCCAATCCCGCTGAAGCCCCAACCCCAGCATGGTAACAATGCTGCGTGGGGAGGAGACCGGGGGAGCCTCCCTGTCCCTCACTTGCTCGTCATTGGTGAAGCATCGAGATCGATGTCCTCACTGTATTTTTTTTTTTTTGATTGGACAGCTTGGACCAATGGCGCTTTGGCGCTTCTGTTTACTGTTGGTAAATATATATTGTATATACAGGGGGCATCCATACATCCATATCAGTGTTTAATACTATTTATATCAAAACTTTGTTTTACAAATAAGCATTTAATTTAGGGTACTCTTATGACATACACTGTATTGACAAAAGTATTGGGACACCCCTCCAAATCATTGGATTCAGGTGTTCAGTGAAATTTCCTTGCTACTAAATCTTCCACAGTCAACTGTTATTGGTTTTATAACACAGTGGAAGCAACTGGGAACAACAGCAACTCAGCCACAAAGTGGTAGGCCAGGTAAATTAACAGAGCGGGATCAGCGCATGCCGAAAAGTGCGTAGAGGTTGCCAACTGTCTGCAGAGTCCATAGCTACAGACCTCCAAACTTCGTGTGGCCTTCAGATTGGCACAACAACAGTGTGTAGAGAGCTTCATGGAATGGGTTTCCATGGCCGAGTAGCTGCATCCAAGCCTTACATCACCAAGTGCAATGCAAAGTGTCGGATGCAGTGGTGTAAACCACGCCGCCACTGGACTCTAGAGAAGTGGAAACGTGTTCTCTAGAGTGACAAATCACGCTTCTCTGTCTGGCAATCCGATGGACGTGTCTGGCAGTTGCCAGGAGAACGGTACTTGCCTGACTGCATTGTGCCGAGTGTAAAGTTTGATGGAGCGGGGAATATGGTGTGGGGTTGTTTTTCAGGGGTTGAGCTTAGCCCCTTAGTTCTAGTGAAGGGAACTCCTAAGGCATCAGCATGCTAAGACATTTTGGACAATTTCATGCTCCCAACTTTGTGGGAACAGTTTGGGGATGTCCCCTTCCTGTTCCAACATAACTGCGCACCAGTGCACAAAGCAAGGTCCATAAAGACATGGTTCAGCGATTTTAGGGTGGAGGAACTTGACTGGCCTGCACAGTGTCCTGCCCTCAACCCGAGAGAACACCTTTGGGATGAATTAGAGCGGAGACTGCGAGCCAGGCATTCTCGTCCAGCATCAGTACCTGTCAGCACCTGGCGAGTCAGGGGGCGGTTGAACCCCAGTTGCGGAAGCTGACCTCTCTAATGAGTTTTAAGTGGACTATCAGTCGGGAACTCCTGGCGTCACTCAATCTAGGGCGGAGAGTTAGGAGTTGCTGACATCATGAGCCCGTTTTTGTTTTCTAATGGACAGGGAAGAGGTTGAATGTACAGAGCGTAGAGGCCAAGGTATTACTCCATACCTGACAATGAAACGTTAACTGGTATACATATAAGCTGGGTTTAAGCAGAATACGCCCCAATTGGTATTACAGAGAACGCACGGCAGTGCCCGGTATGAGGGTTAAGCTACAGTCTGACACAGTGTAAGCACAAGTTTCTAGGAAGTCTATACCGCAGGTTAAATAATAGAGGTATTATACTAGCAACGCACTTCAGGTAAATGAGATATATAAACGTTCTTTATAATAGCAGATACTTGCGGTTCCCCGGTGGGGGTCCGGAGCTATGGCTTCCAGGTTAGAGGGAGGTTCGTCCTGAGGTGAGTATTCCTGGCAGAGGAAGGTTCAAGCTGCTGACAGACTTGCGGCTGAGAATTTCGGTGGGGGTGCAGGTATGGCCCGTTCCTGGAGGAGGTCTCCTGTGGCGGATCCCAGCAGATCCAGGCTGCAGGCTTTAGTGCAGTGGTGGGGTTGCCGGCGTTCGAGAGTCACAATAAACGGACACCTTACCATACTCCCGAACCGGCTTTTAAAGGAACGCGGAAGTGCGGCCGGGAGGAGCCTCACGCCGCTCACAACACTTCCGCGTTCCACCGTAGAGCGCAGCGGCACCGCAGATACGTCAGTGTGCCGACGCCGGCTGCTCTCCACGCCGGAACGCAGCCCGCGACTCCTTACAGTACCTAACCTCACAAATGCTCTTCTGGAAGAATGGTCAAACATTCCCATAGACACGCTCTTAAACATTGTGGACGCCTTCCCAGAAGAGTTGAAGCTGTTATAGCTGCAAAGGGTGGGCCAACTAAGACACCCCTGATAGTAGAACAAAAGGTGTGAGGACAGAAGAGTGGCATGGATGCTGGTAGATGACGTAGCCACTGATGACACTGGAACTGGTGAAGAAGATGACTGGATGCAGAGGGTGATGGATGATGCCAACCCCCAGGGAGTGATACCAGATGCAGGAGAAAGAAGCGGTGTCAGAAGCAGGCCGGGTCGATAACTTGCGGGCAGTTGTGGTGCAGAATCGGTGGGCAGAGGTGAAGTCAGGAACAGGCTAGCTTGACCTTCCTGACAACATAGGAGCATTATGGAGTGTGTCACGGAGCATTATGGGTTAACTGAGCTCTTTTTATTTTAAAGGAAAATGATTTTGTATGTATTTTGTTTCTTTAATATGGTCAGGACTAAAAAAAAAAAAAAATTAAACTGTAGGTTAACCCTCAGATTGAACTTCTCGCACTAGGGCAAGATGTTACTGGCAGGATCATCAGGTAAAAAAATTGAATGCTGTGCCTCATCTGGACTAGTAAGCTGCAATATATTTCATTTTTGAAAACAAAAGGGAACAGAGCGCCACCTCCGTGTGTAAAATCGTTTATTACAATAAATAAAACAAGGGATAAAAGTACTCACAAACAAACGTTTTCATCAGGCTTTAACAACAAACGAGAGGCCACACTGTCTGTTGACCCAACATGGTATCCCCCCGACTATGTAACACAGTAGTATCCGGTCACATCACCGTCCACCGACCGCAGTCAGCCAAGATTGACGCGTTTCAGGGGCAAGCCCCCTTCCTCAGAAATGATTCTGAGGAAGGGGCTGTTCCCTTTTGTTTTCTATGCTCGTGGTGGAAGCCCCAGAGCCTTGGATGAGCAGCCCCTCAAGTCTGTGTAAAAAAACTGTGATAAACTGTTGAAAACTTTGAGTGAGCAACAGCAAGTGGATTGTCCAGCTGGCAGCCATTAGCGCCAAGAGCTAAAGAAAATATTTCATTTTTGTTCTTGGGTTTCATATACAAGTCTTCAGCTATAAGATACGTGACCAACAGGGTTCTTTTGCGGCCTGTGGCTAACCGCTTTTTTCTTCTTTTCAAGCATCCTTGATTAGGCTCTGACTAAAAGCAAAGCTTTGAAACAGTAAAACAAATTCTAGCCAAATGTCAAAAAGTTTTACCTTGAGTTCTAACTTTTTTCCCTTTTGCTTTTTCACTAACCTACAGTTCAACACCTCGTAGCAAGCAACCGTAACAGGTGTTAATTGCAGTCGGGAATATGCGACACACGAACAGCATCTGTTTATGCCCCTCTGACTGGTTAATAATTATCATAACATTTATTTCACCGGTTTAGTATGTAGATGACAAAGTCTATTATGAGTCATTAGAAGGAGTTTATAACCATGGCACTTGCAGCAAGATGGTTTTGGTAGAAAGACAGTCCATCTGGTAACCAGAGATAACACAAGGTAGTAAAATATAATGGCCAAGGTTAATATGCAAGAATTTGAAATAACTTTAAATCTCAGAATTGCAAAGATTCGCAAGACCGTCTGCTTCTCTTGAAATCACTATCAGTAAAGAATGAAATAGTTTTCTTTTGTACCTCTTAAACACAATTCTTTACGTTTTAACGATTATTTCCAAGATGCACACTCTTATTAGAGATTAAAAGGCGACTTCAGGCAACAAGTAAAATAATTTCATGAACGGTTGCTGCTAGCCAGCAAACACTGCAGCTCTGCCAAGTGTAGAAAGTGTGCTTGGTTTATCTTAATTAGACTTTTTAAAAATTCTCCCATTAACAGTTGCAGCCAGATCGTTAGGGCTTTTGGCCATGTCTGCACTATGTTTATGCTTCACACCCCCCATGCACAGATCTGCATCTTATTCTATAGGAGAAGTAAATAACCTATTTCTAAATGATTAGGGGGCATGTAGGGTGGCCAAAAGGTGCCTGCAGACATAATGTAATGTTTGTCCCATCTGGCCATTTACAGTTGCACAAGAAACATTTGTAGAATTGCACGACCCTGACCAATACTCGATGGCCAAACCTACTGCTAGAGAAAGTTGATTGTCTGGAATGGATTTTCCTAGCTGATCTGCCTGCACGCGCAGTACTTGCTGCTCCTTATATAGGCAAAAACTAAAACTTGCATGTTTTTTTAAAGATTGTTGGGCTATAGGCTGTTCACTTTGCAAGTGAATTTGCACTTTGCACAGGAAGTTTCTCATTTGCTTAGTAAATGAGGTGAATCTCTGCTGACTTCCATCATTCAATCATGTGCAAGA